CTTGAGAGCCGTTAGATTCATTAAATTCCACATCATATGTTTCTTCAACCAAGCCGGTGGCATGATTAAATACTCGATATGCTTTGGACTTTGATGAGTAACCAACAAGAAAACCAATATCACAACATCTTTGGACCTTTCCTAGGTGTTGCCGCTTCTTATAGATGTAGCATTTGTAGCCAAACACCTGAAAAAATGATACGTCCGGCTTCTTCCCATTGAGTAATTCATAAGGGGTCTTGGCAAGAAATTTTTAAAGAAATAGGCAATTGGATGCATAACATGCGGTGTTGATAGCTTCCACCCATAGAGCTACGGGTGTATTGTACTCATCAAGCATTGTTCTTGCAAGTGTGATAAGTGTCCAGTTTTCTCTCTCTACTACACCATTTTGTTGAGGAGTGTATGTTGCGGAGACTTCATGCTTGATCCCTACTTCATAACAATATGCTTCAATGTTTGTGTTATCAAATTCTTTTTCGTTGTCACTTCTTATCTTCTTGAGCTTCACTTCAAATTGGCCTCTTGTGAACCCAATACCACTTCTATCCATCTTCATCACGGTGTTCATGAGTAGCTCACTTTGGAGATATTGGCCTCTTGTGAACTTGCTCAAACCAGTCTTGAGATGTTCTTTCTCCAACTTGAGCTTCTTGTTTTCTTCTCTAAGTTCATCATGATTTTTTTTCATCTTGAGTTTCTTGTTCTTTTCTTTAAGCATCTCATTTTCAAGAGCTATATCATAATCATTGTCAAAATTCTCTATCACAATTATGTTGGTAGTTGATAGCTTTTTAAGATCTTTCTTGAGCTTTTCATTCTCATTCTTGAGCTTGACATAATCATCATAGTTGTCGGACTCAACCACTTTCTTGCCTTTGCTACTAGAACCTTGCTTAATGCTCTCAACAATCAAGTCATCACATGATGTAGCTATATTAATCTTAACAACATTGTTAGTAGCATCATATGGCTCATTGAATAATAACTCATGAGAAAGAACAAGATTGTCATGATTAATCTTGAGATTGGTGTACTCTTCTTTTAGCAAATTGTAACTAGTGATGAGCTCATTATGTATCCCCTCAAGTTTATCATATTTTTCTCTAAGCTCCGTTTTAGAGGATTTGAACTCCTTGAGTTTGGATGACACAATTGTATTTTCTTCTCTAAGCTCAACACTAGCTTTTTTGGCTATGTCATACTTTGCTAAGAGTGAGTCCTTCTCAAGTTCTAGCTTTTCATTTTTATCTCTTGTCTTTCTAATGATTTTAGTGTATTGGTTTAGCAACTTGACAAGATCATCATAAGAAGGTGATTCAAATTCTTCATCACTATCACTACCACTTTCATCATTGCTAGCATTATCATCACCACTACTATCATCATCATTTTGTACCTTTCGTTCACCCTTGGCCATAAGGCATAGGTGTGTAGAGGATGATGGCGGTTGTCGACAAAAGATGCTCGGCAGTCCTCCGAGGGGTATCCCGCGAAGGTAGATTGATCAGCAGAGGTGCGCGTAATCAAGAACAAGAAGGCAACAGAGACACAAGAGTTAGATAGGTTCAGGCCGTTTGTACGACGTAATATCCTACTCCTGTAGTCTGCTGGTTTGTATTGGCTATCGTATGATATTGCGTGTGATCAGATCTCTTAGGCAAAGCCTAGGATTCGTATGGGGATGTGTAACACCCTAAATTTTGCATATTTTTGAAATAGGAGAAAGTGATTAATTTTGCAGTGGGAATTTGAATTTAGGAAATAATAATTTTATTAAAAATAAAATCAAATATAAGGATAGAAACATGTTGATGCATACATACTGCTGCATATTTATTTTGTGATGATTGGTCTTGATTCAAAGTTCAAATGAATTCAAAATCTATTTGAAAGTGATTTTGGGAATCTATTTGGAAAAAGAAAAAAAAGGAAAATCCTTCTCACTCTCTCCTCTCTCTCATTTCGGCCTGTTGGCCCAGCTCCTTCGGCCCGCTGGTCTTTTCCTCCGCGCCGGCCCAGCTACGCTGCTTTCCTCCCTTCGCCCGCGCCTAGCCTCGCGCGGCCCGCAAGGCGTCGGCCCAGCAACCGCCGCCGCTCCCTTGGCCCAGCACCGAGCCACAGCCGCGCTGCCCGCCTCAACTGCCGTCGCGCCCTCAGCCGCTGACAGCCCGAGGCCACAAGTCAGCGCCATCCCCCACCTCTGCCCCGCGCCCGAGCCACGCAGAACCGCCTCTACTGCAACCGCCGACGCTCCTGGCATCGTGGGAGCACCTCTCCCCCGCTCCTCGGCCTCGATAAAAAGGAGCCGAGCCCCTCCCCCGCGCCCCCTGCTATTCCCCGCGCCGTTTTCGCTCGCTCTCGCCTTGGAAGCCCTAGCAACCGTGCACGGAGGAGCACCGCCGACCGAAGATCACCGTCTGCGTCGCCGCCTTCCCCGAGCCGTCTCCGACCAGTTTCTTCCCCGCGATGAGAACCCCCTGGCCTCCCTCTACCTCCCTGTACCGTTAATTTTGATTTTCGTGGCTTCTATAGCCCTAGCCGCATGCGCCGTGTGCTCCACGCCGCCATCCATGGCGACCGCCGCCACGCCTGAAGCGGCCTTTGAAGCGCAACACTTGAATCGGTGAGCGCCTGTAGCGGCTTCTGAAGCAGCGCAGCACCTGCCGGTGCCCTCAGGTGATGGCGCAACAGCTGCTGGTGCCCGCAGGTGAAGGACCCTAGCGCGTCCATGGCTGAGGGCAGCATGGATGCGGATGTCGGCGCCATGGTTCCAAGCGGAGGCAGCCTAGCGTCATGAACGAAGCTGGTGAGATCCTCTCCATCCTCTTCCTTCCTACCATTTTGCATTGGTTCCTTTCCAACCACTAGACGAATAGGATTGAGGTTCAGTAGACAAATAGGATGCAAGCTACAGACAAATAGATTGTAGGTCGGATGAAGAATAGGATGCAGTAGCTGCAACATCCAAATATTATATGAAATAGAGATAACGGGTAAGTGCATAGGCAAAAAAGTCATGAAATAAAAATAACTGGTAATATTATATGAAATAAAAACTAGTAATATTATATGAAATAAAAAGTTTCTAGCAGATCCTAAACAAGGTCGCAATAGAAATTAGCATTTTAGTTTTCACCCATATAGAGTTACAGTTAGTTTTCACCCATATAAAATTAGCTTACAAAATCAGCTATTGTTTCTATCTATCACATGCTTAATCAACTAACGATGTCTTCTTAGTTGCACTAGGGTACTAGATGTCTGATTGGGTACAAATAGCTTTGATGAATGAACAAAAGCTAACAACCACCTGCTGTTATTGCTGTGCTGAAGTAACAACCACATAATTGTTGCCTTCAACTTTTATGGAATGCTTTTTTTTGTTTTCTTTTGAATTCAGTTTCAGCGGAGGCGGAGGTTGCAGGATTCATTAGGCAGCTAGATGGTTCCCTGTTCAGCTGGAGAGAATGCTATTGCTGCTTCCTCTAGTTGATATATGGCATTGTTAGTGTACGACTGTCCTCAAGTATAGCTTGGAGTGCACATAAAAATTGTTATCTGTGGAGTATGTTTTACTGCTGCCCTATCTTCTACATATAAATTTGTGAGTATGTTTTGCTGATGCCCTTTTCATTTTCATGACAAAAATGGTGGTACAAACAAGAAAAAATAATTATGGCTTCCTCACTGAGTATGAGAAGAAAAGGTTGCTGGCATTGCAAGGAATAAAAGGGTTCTAGAATCCTATGATGTCCTTGACATGAGCAGCAGCAACACCCATCCAAGAGAAAAAAGGTGATTTGTCTTATAAATATACACAACTACTAATATTCTAAATTGTTCCATTCTGTACAGTATAGTAATCTAGTGTTAGCCATTCTCTGTATTGTCTTACTTGTATCTAGCGTTATAGTTTTTGTGAACTCACTATTTTTTTCATAAATGCTTCCAATACTTAATGCTCATTATATCAATTGTTTTTTATGTGCCCCTTGCTGCTACTTCAGTTTTCCTCACGCCTATCACAAAATTGCCTTTCACTCTGCCTATTTCAATTAACTTAACTCTGCCTATTTCAATTAACTTGCTAGATTATTTAAAGTTGTTATTACTACCAAGTTAGATATTGTTTAGTTGTGACTAGAAGCAAATCATTTGATTGATTAGCTGAATCATATCCTACTATTCTCTCTTTGTTGCTAGTACATGAGTTTCTATGCATATCGGCATCTATCTCCATCTTTCTCTATTATGATGAAGCTAAAAAATTTACAACTGTTTGGCCACGTATGTGCAGGGATTCATTGAAAAGGCAGACCGTTCATATGTTTCATGGAAGGAATGAGGAGTGTCCTTTGATGCTGTAGTGGGCAAAGTGCCATGGTGTCTGCTGGGTACTGTGATGTGGTTTTGGACAGGTTGTAATTATGTTGTATGAGATGTGAAGGTTGTAATGTGTTCCATTTATGTGCTGATCTGGACCTGATGATGAGAACTGGTGTTAATTAATGATGATTGGTAATTAATTTGGCTGAAATTATGGATGAAATATTTGTATTTTGCTATAAGCCATTATTAGTTGGGCTGAAATCTAGTAGTGGCCCAATTTGAGCTGGGCTACATGACCATTAAAAGGCTGAGAAAAGGCCCAAAAAAATCATATCGGCCCAAAACAAAAAAAAAATCAGCTGGTCGTAAAATGGGCCAAAAGTTCCTGGAAACCCAAATTGGGCCACAAAACACCTGGGCTAAATCCGATGTGGCACCGGTGACACATCAGCGTACACCTTGGCGAACACATGGCGTTTACGACGAAAAAAAAATCCTACATGGAAGCTAATCCGTGACGGAAAATTTCGTCACAGACTACTAGGCCCAGCCCGGCCTAGAGTGGGCTAAGTGGGCTTTTAGGGATCCATGACGATCGAAATCCATCATAGATGGCTCGCAGCCAATCTGTGACGCTCGATACTTGACAGAAAAAAAATCTGTCACGAATGGCAATCTATGACGGATTTCGGGGCTTTTGTGATGGAAACAAGCTGTCATGGATCAATAGAATATTTGTAGTGGAATTTGCTGAAGCTAATAAGATAAATAGTGGGCTCCTGACAAACTCCATTGATCTTGATGAAGAAGATGCATTGCCAGTGGATCTGTGGATACAATTCTATGGGCCTGAGCCAGAGGATCCAAATAAACCTCACCAAATTGGACATCCAAGGGGATTAAGGCATCATCCTGCGCTAATCAACAAGATTGCTCGAGTGACATTTTTGCCAAAGGTAGGAGATAGAGGTGTCATTAGGGATAAGTTTTGAAATATCATTCATCATATCATGTACAGGGAAAAGTTTGATGTGGTCAAGTTCATGATGAATCAGCTGGCAGTCTTGAAGCATGACATGACTACAAATCTCTACTTTGCTCCTTACATAATGTCTCTCATCCTTCAGAAAACAAGGTTTAAGGGGAGCGTTAAGTCAAACATGTTGATTTCAGGCCATATTATAATGAGCCAAAGTTTTATGAGAGAGCACTGACTCCCTTTCCTCTAGATGAGGGAGATCAAGAAGGAGAAGCTGCTGATCATGATGAGCACATGGGTGATGATGAGGATCCTAATCAGCCACAGATGGAGCCAGAGCCTTAGCATGGCTGGGCACCCCCTGCAGGTTACTTTGACCCCTACTTTCAAAGCATGCAGAACACAAGGAACACATCTTTTGCTCAGTTTGGTGAGAGTATTCAGCAGCAGATGCAGCAAGGTTTTCACACCATGGGCAGCAGTGGCAGGGTCACATGGACACCAGTTTTCAGCAGCTTGGGTAGCATCTTCACTCCACCATGTACCGGCCCATCATGACTAGTCTTCAAAATGTTCAGCAGGGGCTGCATAGTGACATTGATACTCTTAGTGCACAGCTTGGTTCTTTGTCTACACAGGAGCAGTGTCAGCAGATTCAGAACAGGCAAGATCTTATTGAGCACTGTGTTGATGTGTTGAACAACAACTTCAATGCTTTTAGTGACCACTTCAGCATGATCTATCCAAGGCCTGTTCCTCCTCCAGCTCAGTTTCTGTACTAGCCTTTCTATCCACCCTAGTTCCATCCTCCACAGTTCTACCCTCCTGGTGATGATGATGGTGCATGAGCTTAATCTTTTGGGTAATGTAATGACAAAGGGGGAGAAGTGAGAAGAAGTGAAGCAAAATTGAAAAATTTGAAGCTCTTGGATGGATGAAGGCTTGCTTATGGACCTTGCATGTTTTTATTTATTTGTTGGACTATGCATTTGTGTGCTTGCATCTAGTTGTAATTACCTTAAATTCCTACTTTTGTTGGCTTGTGTGTGCTAGAACTTGAACTTATGATGCTATGGTGTATTGTGCATGGTACTTCAAGTTAATATTGTGTTCCACTAACATTCTTGTGAAGTTGTTCTAGCATAATTGTGGTTTTCCGAGGATATTATTCATGTGTATGGCTTCCAAAGGTAATTTTTATATATCTTGTGTTCCTTGGTTACCACTATGTAGGGAAAACTCTGCTAAAATTTCCAAATTTATGCATATGTGAATGAATTAAACCCAAATTTTATACACATATGTAGGGGGAGCTTTCACTGCATAGTTGAGTTTTGAAACATTTATCCATTCTAACTCATGTGCTTCATGCTATGGATAAATGGTGCAAAACTCTTGTACGGAGTTGTCTTAAAATTTCAATTATTCTTAACTCCTTATTGAGGTTGTCATCAATTAAAAAAATGGAGAGACTGAAAGGTCTAGGCCCTTGTTTGGGTTTTGGTAATTAATGACAACACTGTGGACTAACTTCTCTATTTGAGTGTGTGAAGGAAAGTTGGTTTAGTTCACAAGAAAAGTTGGATGTTGATATGGATTTGATTGTTAGCATGATGGAATGCTCAAATCAAACATAGCAAGCAAGTGAAGACCGAAGCAAGACTTGGCTGCGATGGACCGTGTGCAACGCAATGGTGAAGGGCAAGCTAGTGGGCTTGGCGCCGAAGGACCAAGGCAATGGTGAAGGGCAAGTCAAGAGGCTTTTGAGCGATAGACCGCACGTGGCGGAGAAGCTTGAGCGAGACTTGGCGCCGAAGGACCGAGCAATGGTGAAGAGCAAGTGAGACCAAGATTGATGGATTTGGAGTCTATGTGATGGTTTGAGTGATCCACATCATCTATGGAGATCAAGCGAAAGATTCTTTGTTTATCTCAAGTGGCTTGGTGAATATGTCGGACAACACTTTCCTTGTGGGCATCAAACTTGTGGGAATTGGTTTTGCGCACGGCAAAGGTATGAAACATAGGATGTTTCATTTTACCGGCTATGAGGTGTGTAGAGAAGATATAAATAGCCTGGTTTAGGATAGATAGTCGTACTATTAAGAGGGGCAAACGTATTTTGCATTACGGTTATCTAGTGCCACTTGTGAGCTCTAACGTTGAGGTACGGTTAGTGGTAAGTGGTGAAAGTTAAAAACCTTTTTGTGAAAAGTTTGTTAAAAGCTAACCGGTGGCCAATTAAATGATCGTCTTGCGAGAGATCGTTACTTGGTGTTGGCTTACCTTGAAAAAAGGTTTTGAGAAGCGCTGGGACTAACTTTGAGATGCTTTGGAACTCTCCATTGAGGAGTGGAGTAGCCATCCAAAGCTAAGGAGGCGATGCGCTTGGTGGACTGTTTTCTGGGCAGCCACGGACTGTCCGCCTTGCTGGCGGACTGTCCACCAGTCACTCGTAGAAAACCAAACAGATTGAAAACAATATGTTCTTGGTTGCCGTGGTAACGACGGACTGTCCGTGTCCTGGTGGTAGACAATCCGCCGGTCATAACTCATGGCGAACAGAGTTGCTGTAAACTCTGTCTTGGGTGCCGTAGATAAACGGCGAATAGTCCACGCTCTGGCGGCGGACAGCCCGCCGGTCAAAAACATCGACGAACAGAGTTACTAACCTTGCTGATTAGGGAGCCTAGGGACAGCGGCGGACAGTCCATGCCCTTGTGGCGGACAGTCTGCAACCCTGGTTAATGAACCTAATGGCTAGTTGCTGATAACGGCGGACAGTCCAAGGCTTGTTCCGCGGACTATCCGGGAATGTTGAGTCAGCACAGTAATAGCTAGTTTTTGGGTGCTCCTCTATATATAGTGGGGTGCCCGGTTGGTGAGGGCTCTCGGCTATTCTAACAACATACTCTTTGGGAGAGCACCTCTCATACTCCTTGCTTGAGGGCAACATTTGGAGAGTGAGTGTGCTCCACTAGTGCGAATCTTTGCGTGAGAGATTGCTTGTGGCACTAGGTGGTCGTTGTGCGGGCGTGGTTGCTTGTTACTCTTGGAGCTTGCCGGTTCCTAGATGGCTTGGTGATTGTGTCTCTATGAAGCACACTAGAAGGATTGTGCGGTGCTCCAGAGTTGGCTTTGTGAGGGGCTATTGAGCTCATCCCCGCCGGAGGAAGGCAAAGAGCATATCTAGTAAAATCAAGGCTTGTGAGAGTGTCTAGTTGATTTGGCCAGCTCAAAGTTTAGTGCTCACATGGAGCCTACCTAGTCAGGTAGTCTGAAGCTTGTGGGCTTGGAACTAACAAGAGGAGCGGCAATCCTAGAACTCGCCTCAACATGGACTAAGTGACCGACAAGTCATCAAACCACGTAAAAACATCATGTGTCATCCTCTACATTGTGGTTTGCTTATCTCAACACATGTTTACTTCATTGCAATATATATTGAGCTTGTGTTGTTGAGCTTGTGCTTTTTACCGTCTTTATCACTATCATGTGTAGGAGCTTCGGAGCGCTTTCTCTTTTACTAGTTGCTTTGTTGCCAACTAGAATTGTTTTGGAGAATTCTCACTAGCTTGGTACCCTAGTTGTTCTCTAGCTCAATCTTTTATAAGTGTGCTAGCAAATTTAGATAGAGGGGTATAGTCGAGGCAAGACCGCATTTTCACTTACGCATCTAAATTGGTTAGCTCTTGGGATTAATTTTTAGAAACAACTATTCACCCCCTCTAGTCGGCCATCTCGACCCTACATTGTGATTGATCCTAAGTTAGATTGGGAGAGATCTAGTTTATTTGCTTCATTGAATTGCATCTAGCGGCACTAGTTCATCATTTGAGCTGCAAATTTCTTATTACTCTTGGTGGTTGCAGCCACCTAGACGGATTCGAGCATTGATAGTTGTTGTGGGGAGTGTTGATAATCGTTCTCTGCCTCTAATTGTTGATTTGTAAGAGGTTTTGATCCCACCTCGCGGAGTTGCAAAGGGATACTCTAATAGTATATGCCTATGGCTAGTGGGAGTGCTCCTTGTTGATTGATTCTTGTGGCACCCAAGTTGTTGGGTCTAGCTTGAGTGGCTAGTTAGTGAGCTAATCATCATTTTAAGACTCCCCACAACATGGATGTAGGTTGCTGGCAAGCAACCGAACCACGGGGATAAATCTATTGTCTCTTGCCCTCGGTGGTTTGCTACTACTTACATGTGCATTACTTTCATGCTTGTTGACTGTGCGTAGTTGCTTGCCTAGTTGTGTAGCTCACTAATGTAGTAGCTAGTTTTAGTTGCTAGCTCTTGTTTGTTTGTGTGAATTAAGTTGGTACTAGAATTGTGTATTGGCTTGCTTGGGTAAAATAGAGTAGTGTAAGTAGTGGCTTTAGGGCTTGTTATTTTACTAACCACCTTGTTTAGGTGTTTGTGAGTTTGTAGACAAATTTTTATAGGCTCCCATCTAGCCATCTAGATCCTTTCTGCCGACGGGATAGAGGACACTGAGGGTAGGTATTTCTTTTCAATCTGAGCACCGACACAAGTAGACTAGCTTTGGATCCACGTACTTTTGTTAGTGATGACGACATTGATGTGATATGGGGGATCTTTTTTGCTGCTAGGGTTCCTTAGTTCTCGCTTAGTTCTCGCTAGAGATAAAAGTCAAAGGTTTCTACACAACAAACTCTCTGCGTTAGAAAGCTTACACAAAGGGCTTTTGTGATTAATTAGGATGTGGGGATAGGTTAGTTTTCCTTTGATTTGATGATGACAAGCTTGTGCAAGGAGGTGAAATGCTTTAGATCCTGAACTTAAACCTGATAAGGAGGCTGATATGTTCAACAATGATGAATAGTATGTTGGTGTTGATGATGAGGGGACGCACATGCTAGTGCGACTCAGTCTCCTAATAATACATAATCGCCTGATAATGCACAACTTTCTTCTAATGTTGATGAAAGTGTTGATGACGATGACTTGTCAAAAAAAGTGTTGATGATGTTGCCGCTGGCGAAGGTGTTCCTCTTGAAGTATAGACCAGAGATGTAAATCCTTGGAAGATGCAAGCGTCTATGTCTACAACTAGGTCTAAAAAAAATGATACAAAAAACCCCAAGACTACGAAGGGAGAGTTATTTTCTAACATTGTAGCATTTAGGAAAGGAGTTAAGCATATGAATAAGGTTTTGAGTTTGCTAATTTCATTCAAAACAAATATGATTCATTCAGCCTGTTCGCTTGTTGATTTCAGTCAGGGCTTATCAGACAGCCAACAGTATTTTCTCTCACAACAAACTAGCACCAGCCGGACTTATCAGTCTAGAAACCAACCTACGAAGAGGCCGATTGTCAAGTGTGCAATCCAAGGATGTTCTTGGCGCATAAATGCTTCTAGGATCTATCACCATGTTCGTTTGGGCTTGTTTGACTGATAAGTCATGCCTGAAAATACCGTTAGTTGATTTAATGTAAAAAAAATACTATTCATTGACTAAAAAAGTATGATTTATAAGCAAACAAGTCCAAGCGAACGAGCCCAGACAAGAGAGGTAAAGTAGCTGTAGATGTCGTCCCCCCGCGTAATTCACGTCAGCTCTGGTTTGGATAGGGAGCGAGAGGCGCCGGCGCCACACAAAACTATCTAAAACTATCTCCGCCGAGGCTCCCTTCCATGGTATACCATGTTTCCGGCGGCTACCACCGCTGCAGCGCCAGACCCCTCGTGCTCCACCTTCCCCTCCTCCCGCCGCGCTCCCCCTGCCGCTTCGCGTCACAGCTTCGTTGTCGCAAGAA